TTCAGCAGCACTGGGAGCGGTTCAGTGCTCAGGCCACCAGCTGGCAGCACAAGGTTGACTGGGTTCTGGGGAAACTTCAGGACCTCCAACAAGCCATGAACCAACTGGACCTAGGCCTGGCTGAGATGGAGAATGAGAGCTGGCACTCTGAGGAACACAGCATGGCCAACTGTGTGCTGGAGAACATGGAAAATATCGTGAGTTCAAATAAAAAAATATGGCAAGGCTTTAAAATGCGGCCCCGTTAGTTAATGCAATTACTAAAAGTAACTAATAATGAGCAATTCATTTGTTACAGTATTTATTAATCAGGTCCGATAAATATTGTAACATTACAATCTTTTGATTTTAATAATAGTAAATAAATGTTGAAATTTACCTTTAGTAATGATCAGTAATTAAAATAAACCAAAATTAATTTTCATTGTTTATTTATTTTTTTATTTTTCTGAATGAGTAGCCTATACGTTTTCTATTTCTCATTTCAGAATTGTTCTTCAAAATGTTTTAATGCCTGATTTCAAACCTTTCAATATAAGCCAGTATTTGTGTCTTTTTTGTTTTTAGGAACTTTTTTTATTATAAACTCTGTTATTATTTGTTTTTTATGACATGCTTTACTGTTCAACAATTAGGTATATGATAAGTATCTATTTGAGAATATTAATTATTACGATTAGTTTTCTACCATTGTTTTTGAGAGAATAGAGAAAATTTACTCTAGTACTACAGATGTCAGTGTTCACTCTCTAGTCTTCATTTTTATTCCAGTTTGACCTCCACAGACTTAAAACTGTTATACACTTTGATATGTGACAGATAGCTCATCCCTCATGTCTCATGTGATGATCAAATATGAAATTTTCTTTGTAATTTTAGCCTTGAATAGAATAAGGCAGATCCAGTGAAAGATCAGACTCAGATTTGACTGTACAAGGGCATTTCAATAAATATGTCAGCAAACCGTCTCATGTGAGTAAATGCATCTGTTTGATTGAATGGTTCCACCAGGTCAGATTAGGTAGAGGACTGCATAAACGCAAGGCCATCAGACCATGCTGCCTATTGCTCATACAACGTCAAACAAACATCAGGGTCAAGAAGTTTTACATTGGTTAAACTCTGAGATGTGCAGTAATGGGCACAACACCATCCGAAATACATTGCAGACTCTTTAAGCTGTATGCATCCATGGTCATGCTAAATGTAAATAAATGTATTCATATGAAAGGTCTGCTTAAAGAAGTAATCATTTAATCACCCTCAGGTTATCCAGGATGTAGATGACTTTGTTTCTTCACCTGAACAGATTTTGAGAAATGTAACATTTAAAATTTAACAAATCACTTGCTCACCAATTGATCCTCTGCAGTGAATGGGTGCCGTCAGATTGAGAGTCCAAACATCTGATTAAAACATCACAATAATCCACATGTAATCCACACCACTCCAATCCATCAATTAAGGTTGCACGTTTGTAATAAACATCATTGTAATTCATCATTAAGAAGTTTGTAACTTCAAGCTGTTGCTTCTGGTTAAAATAATACTCCTCTATCCAAAATATTGCTTCCTCCAGGGGAAAAGTCATCGCGTCTGAATCAGGAGAGAAATATGCACAGATCAAGCACATCTTACAAGCAAAAACAGTTCAAGATTGCTTTAATGTGAGAGGACAACAGGTGATGGACTTTTTCACTGGAGGAAGCGTTATTTAAAGTTAGAGGTTTAAGTTAAAGTTTAAGGTTTAAAGTTAAAATGCCTTAATGTTGGATATGTTTCTTACACTCTTACACTCAGCTTTCCACTTCATTAAACATTAACTGATGGACTGGAGTGGTGTGGATTACTTGTGGATTATTGTAATGTTTTTATCAGCTGTTTGGACTCTCATTCTGACGGCACCCATTCACTGCAGAGCATCCATTGGTAAGCAAGTTATGGAATGCTACATTACTCCAAATTAAGAATCAAACTCATCTACATCTTGGATGGCCTGAGGGTGAGTACATTTTCAGCAGATTTTAATTTTTTGGGTAAACTATTGCTTTAATTCTGTCATTTGCACATTGAAGGTCAAAATTTGAGATTATTTTACACTTCAGGTTTAGAATATTTCTTACTAGCCCACATAATAGCTATAAAGATGCCAATTTGTGCCACATGGGCAACAGATCATTTGAGCCGGCTGGCATCGCACTCTGAAATGCTTGTAAGATGCATTCAAACCCCAGCATTGAACTTGAAGAATCGATTATTTTTAATCATGCATTAGGATCACTGAAACCACACGAAGTCCAGTTTGTTTTTGATTGCTCTTTTATCCCGTAGCTTGATGAGTGTGTGACTGTCATGTTGTTTTGAGGATCCTGTGGGCAGAAATATTGACCCTACGTATTGATCTGGGCAGCTGGAGAACATAGATAATTAAGCTGCTACCTGCCCAATGACACTCTAGGGCCTTGCTTCACCAACACAGACAGGCTGTTGCTAACTCATTTTTGGAGCTCGAACAACAACATTTTTCACCCCAAGTGAGCATCTTGGGTTTTCATGTAATAGTTGTATTAATGTAACTGAAAGACTTGCACCATTTGTGCTTTTGGGATGTGGCATTGTCTGTCACACAAGATGAAAAGGGCACTCATTATATTTTGGCAGAGATGTGTCTCCACAGACTCTTGGAGTCAGGCGTGTTGGATAATGAGCGTCTGGTCATTTCTGAAGTGAAGTACCAGCGACTACTTTCTCATATTCTCAGAACAATGTCTTTATTTTTCTCCAGACTGCCCCCTGCTTAGTCGTCTCATAGGATGAAAAAGCCTTTAAAGCACTGTAATTTCCCTCTGATCTGAGCTACCATTATGTCTCCATTGGAGGGGTATGTTTCGCATTATGGTCTGATAGCACAGTAAGATGTTAGGCATCATTTTTTATCTTGCCATCTGGTGTAGTCATAATCTTTCAATCTTGCTTGTTTGAGAATATTTTTCTTTTTCAAAATCTTATCAGGGGATTGTGGGTAATCAGCACCAGCAGTTGCAATGCTCTCAAACGGATAAGAGACATTTCTCCCATGACTTCTTGTCTGGTAAGTCGTATTTTATGCATTCGTCAGTATTCCCATAGTCATAGAAAATCTTTTTAATTCTAAAATGGTGATTTTTAGGCCTGGAACATGTTTGTGTGAATTAATTAACAGTAATTTTTGTAGTGAATATACACTGCCGTTCAAATGTTTGGGGTCGGTTAGATTTTTCTTTTAGTACTTTTATTCAGCAAGGATGCAAAAAAATTGATCAAAAGTGACAGTAAAGACATTTTTAATGTTTCAAAAGATTTCAATTTCAAATATATGCTGTTATTTTCTATTCATCGAAGAAAAAAAATGTATCATGTTTTCCACAAAAATATTAAGCAGCATAACTGTTTTCAGCTTTGATAATAATCAGAAATGTTTCTTGAGCAGCAAATCAGCATATTAGAATGATTTCTGAAGGATCATGCGACACTGAAGACTGGAGTAATGATGCTGAAAATTCTGTTTTGATCACAGGAATATATTACACTTTAAAATATACTTTAAATTGTAATCATATTTTCCAAAACAACCATTTCTACTGTATTTTTTATCAAATAAATGAACATAAGAAATTTCTTTCAAAAACAATAAAAAAGCCTTTGAACGGTAATGTACATTTGTTTAGTTATACTCAACTCTGAAGTATTTCATTGGCTAGAAATTGCTCTTTTGGAGTGCAATTTCCCATAAAAAAATATGTATTCAGTCAGCTGGAAACATCTGAAAAAGTTCTGAAAAATCACTGGTCAAAAAGTGGGGAAACTCTGATTTGTCACAAATACTTTTTCATTTGTTTCCACTATACAATAAAAACTGTATTGAGTGAAAGCTATTCAAATGTCATGACTTTATCTTTGAAACCTTCTGTCTCCCAACCAGTATCCGTTGAGTTCCCTTGGCAAAGAGCTGTTTTTCATAACGGCGTTCCTTATTATATCAAGTGAGTTTTGTTTCATACATTCTCATCTCTGCTGTGACACCTCATGCTCTTCGTGTGATTTCCCATGTGCTCAGTTTTGCATCAGAATGAATTCATTCATCAAATTTGAATCGAGTTACAGTCACCCTTACTAAAATGTATTACAACAATTTCCTTCAGAAATCATTCTAGTATGCTGATTATTATTATTACAAATGATGAGAACAGTTGTGCCGCTTAATATTGTTTTCATTCTTTGATGAATAGAAAGTTCAAAACAACATCATTTGACATAGAAATCTTTTTGCAACATTATAAATGTCTTTAATGTCACTTTTGATCAATTTAATGCATCCTTACAGAATAAAAGGATTGATTTCTTATTAAAAAAAGGCTCCTTTAAATAAGTGTTGAGAATCTTTCTGGCAGTTTGATTCTTCCGCTTGACAGAAACCAAAATACATTTTCCATGGCACATTCCTTTAAGGTGAATTGATGTTAGTTATTATTAATTGTCTTTCAGTCATGAGCGGCAGACCACCTCGTGGGATCATCCAAAGATGACACAGTTATTTCAATCAATGGGTTTGTTCTTGTTCCGGTTAATCAGTGTCAAGTGTTCTGTCTTTCTCTCTGTGTATTTCACTAAACATTCAAAATGTGCAGTATGCATGCTTTCTTACATTTTGCTCATTATTTGAATTTGAGAACTATGACTTTTCTTATTAATAATATTCTCATCCAGCCTTTATGGTCTACCCTCAATATGCAGCTGATCTGAGCCATGTGCGTTTCTCCGCTTACCGCACAGCGATGAAGAGCCGCCGGCTACAGAAAGCCCTCTGCTGTGAGTGATAACTTATCATTTAAGTCTTATACTTCTTACTTTCCTAAAAAAAAGTTCATTGGCTCTTCTGTTGGGGATTTGTACTAAACATTTATCATTGCATTGCAAATTACTGTCAATGTGAAAAACCGCTCATCACTTCTCACTCTAAATGACTTTTGAAAGTAAACAGATTACTGCAGAAGACAAAGACAATTTTAACCAAGCAATCTTAAGCTCTATCTGCTAATTTTGTCAAGACGTTTCTGGTACACTAACTATGAGCCTTTGATCTGCAGTAGGAGTTTTGAGAGCATTAGAGCCGGAAAGCCACCCGCTGACAACATTAGTACAGTACAAGCTGTGCAGAAATAGCCTTCAGTCAGGTTAGCCTGATGGGGTTTTTGGTAACAGACAGCAGCTGTTTTTTGCTTCATATCTTCGGATGTGGGTAATGTTGAGAAAGGGTAGTTGTTGAAACGTATAATTGGTTGCAAATCTGATGAATTCTGATAAGAAATATAATTTTTTGTTGCCTTTTCAGTATGGCATTTTCATTACACACCAACGGATGAGTTACGCACTGGTGACTTTCATTAAAATGCGCTGAATGGAATTCATTGTGGAGGCAGAAATGAGTGGAGATGAAATTTGTCTGTCTGTTTCAGTGGACCTTTTGGAGCTCAGCATCGCCCAGAGTGTCTTTGATCAACACAAACTCACGCATAATGGGCAGCTACTGGAGATTCCAGGCATCATAAACTGTCTCTGCACAGTCTACCGTGAACTTCAGCAGGTGCATCCGGATCTGGTTAATGTGCCTTTGTGTGTGGATCTGTGTCTCAACTGGCTGCTAAAAGTCTATGACAGGTCTGTATGGGTCTTGTCTGTAATACAGTGGCCCTTAAACATGTTTAGACACTTAAAGGAATAGTTCACTCAAAAATGAAAATTTTCTGAAAATTTACTCACCCTCGGGCCATCCTAGATGTAGATGAGTTTGATTTTCGGAACAGATTTGGAGAAATGTAACATTACATCACTTGCTCACCAATGGATGCTCTGCAGTGAATGGGTGCCATCAGAATGAGAGTCCAAAAAGCTGATAAAAACATCACAATAATCCACACCACTCCAGTCCATCAGTTAACATCTTGTGAAGCCAACAGCTGCATGTTTGTAAGAAACAAATCCACCATTGATCTATGCATATTTCTCTCCTGAATCAGACGAGATGATTTTTTTTAATGGAGAAAGCAATATTATGGATAAAGTACTCATACAGTATGTGACCCTGGACCACAAAACCAGTCATAAGGGTAAATTTTCTATTGATGTATGGTTTGTTAGGATAGGACAATATTTGGCCGAGATACAACTATTTGAAAATCTGGAATCTGCGGGTGCAAAAAAATCTAAATACTGAGAAAATTGTCCAAATGAAGTTCTTTGCCATGCATATTACTAATCAAAAATTAAGTTTTGATATATTTGCGGTAAGAAATTTACAAAATATCTTCATGGAACATGATCTTTACTTAATATCCTAATGATTTTTGGCATAAAAGAAAAATCAATAATTTTGACCCATACAGTGTATTTTTGGCTATTGCTACAAATATACCCCAGCGACTTAAGACTGGTTTTGTGCTCCAGAGTCACATATATAACTTCTTTGAAGTTATAAAGATCTTAATGATGGATGTGTTTATTAGTTTGTGGATACCTTACATTACTTGTGGATTATTGTGATGTTTTTATCAGCTGTTTGGACTCTCATTCTGACGGCACCCATTCACTGCAGAGGGTCCATTGGTGAGCAAGTGATGCAATGCTAAATTACTCCAAATGAAGAAACAAACTTATTTACATCTTGGGTGGGCTGAGGGTGAATACATTTTCAGCAAATTTTCATTTTTGGGTAAACTATTCCTACTCACTCAAGTCATGCTTAAAACTGTATTAATGCATTCAGTAACGAAATATTTGGCATTTATTAAATAATATTGAAAGAAAGAAAGTGGCATTTATTTCCCAGCATAATCACACAAAAAATTGCTTTAAAATGATAAAACAATAGATATATAATTCAAAATAGAGGTAAAAAGTGACACTTTTTGTCAGTTTTGTCCATAGTTCTGGAAATAAGCTTATATCTTAGTTGAATGTTTTTTTATATCTAATAATGCAATGACATTTATGTACAATTTTAAATCTGAATAAATTGTTCAATGCTTTTTAGTGCCACTGAAAAGTATGTCTCGTGACCTCTAAACTATTGCAGACAGTCTCCTCTGTAATGGTTGTTCTCATACATATTTGATGTAATGCTTTATGTTAATTTCTTTTGCAGTCCTAAAGCAATATTTCTATTTTTGCCAAGATGACAAGCTGACACAAAACTGTTTAGTAAAAACATAACCAGTTTTAATATATAATAAGTAATTTCGCCGTTGCATCAGTGTAAGTGTAGCCAGAAGGTTGAACCAGAATTCAGTGTGTTTATTGCTGCAACTAACATCCCTGTTTTGTTTGAACAACAAACATTTTTAAATGGCATAGAAAAGTATTTTAATATCAAAAACACTGGAAAAAAACCCCTGTTCAGATTGAATTGATACTTGGCCACACGTCACTTTCACTTTCACTTACTGTATTTTTTATAGTGACAGAAGTGGAAAAGTTCAAGTGTTGTCCATGAAGATTGGCTTGTTTTCTCTTTCAAAAGGACCTCTAAAGGATAAGTACAAATGCAAGTGCTTTGATACTGAATATATGTGGCATAAAATATTCTATCCTGCTCTCAATTTATAAATGAATTAAATTATGTTGTGAAACCCTGGCTTCTTTCCTTCGCTTTAATGTCTGTGCACAATTTCACTGCAAACTTTGATTTCACTGTCTCAGACCTACTGGGAATTGAATGCAACACTGTCCTTGCTGTGGCTCCTACAAGGATATTTATAAATTGGATCTTAAGTCTAAAATCACCCTCCTGGTCTCATCCTGTGATGTTCTTTGAGTTTCGCTCCTGCTGTCCTTCACAGATCTGTTCGCTCAGGTGGCCGACGCTGCAGGCGTCTGTAACCAGAGGCAGCTGGCGTTACTGCTACTCAACAGCATCCAAATCCCACACCAGCTCGGGGAGGCCGCCGCATTCGGAGGGAGTAACATGGAGCCCAGTGTCCGTAGCTGCTTTCAATATGTGAGTTAACACTACTGTAGGCTAAAAAACGAGATGATATCTCTCTTCATATCTTTGGATCAGGTTAAATGAAGACCTATGAGTATCCTAACACCCTAACAGTGTTATTTCAGCATTATTTATATACTATTATAGTTTTATTAATATTTTGAATTAGCTTTTATTTTTATATTTTCAGTTATCATTTAAATTTTAGTTGAATTTTTAGTCATTTTATGTCATTTTGCCATATTTATTAGTTTTTTTTATTATTATTGAGGTTTAACTTACTACAGTTTTAGTTCTGATTTATGTTTTATTTAATTGTAGCTAGTTATTTTAGTGATTCAATCTAAACCTATTTCAGTAAATTGCCAAAGCATCAAGATCAAATGGAGACAAATTAGTCAGATTTTACTTATAGCTTTATATTTTCAGTTATATTTAGTGATTTTGTTATGTGCGTTTGTCATTTTTATTAGTTTGTTTTTAAACATTACTGTTTAGGTTTCATTTACTTTAATTTCCGTTTTAGTTTTAGATTTAGTTCTGTTTTAGTTTTTATTTATTTCCAGTTAGTTATTTTAGTGCTTCAACCTAAACTTATTTCCTTAACTTATTTTTGTTGTCTAATATTTGTATTTAATTTTATTAAAGCAATAAGCCCCAAGAAGCTTCACGGGGCTTATTGCTTTTATAAAACGGTTATATTCCATATACGTAGTACGGTTTCACAAAATAAAACAGAGCAAATAAAGTGTAATGATATTAATAAAAGACAGTATTCTTCCACCAAACAATAGCTGTGTCTCATTTAGAAGGCTGCGCCCTCCGGAGGTCGCATTCGAAGGCTGCATACGTCATCGAGGCTGTCTCATTTCAGAAAAGCAAGTAGGACACTCCGAATGCGACCTTCGAATGCGACCTTCTTTCACAGGAATTCGGAGGATACATGAGGTGTATCCTTCGCTGCTACAGATAACCCACAATTCTTTGCGTCGCCGTGAACAACCGTTGTTAATTTGAAAAATGCCGGCGCCGGCAGATGTAGCCTACACACAAGCGCAGATGTGGTGTTTACAACTTACCTTAAATCGCCTCGGTAAAAACGGATAAACTTTGTTTTTAATATCCTCCTCCTTTTTTTTCTCTAACAGATGTCTGCTGTACGTACGCTGCAGCTCCTCAAACATTAAACAAAACAAGTAAAAGCATTTTTTTTTTTAATTACTTTCCAAATTTAGAAATAATTTTCCTTCATTTAAGTAGTGTGAGAGCGCAACGATGCTCTAAATGTGTTGGCATAGCAACGTGATACTTCCTGTTTCCTTTTCCGCCCGTCCTACGAAGGCCGTCTCGTTTAATTCTAGGTTGAGGACACTTCGTATATGCATCCTACAGAGGATGCGACCTCCAGAGGGCGCAGCCTTCTAAATGAGACACAGCTAATGTAGTTCCTCAGAATCAGTTGTGGTTGCAACAAAGTGGTTGCCAAGCAACAGACAAATGTAAACAAAGGAGTATGTTTGTAGAGTAATTTACAACAGCTTCGAACGTGGCTCAGCCAATCAGAATCAAGGACCGGAACTATCCGTTTTATAATATAGCTTTATTTCAATTAGCAAAATGTTTTAATAGTTTTAGATTTATTTAACAAGCTTGCTGAGAACAAGTCTATCAATCTCACATTTGAAATATCAACATTTTAAACCGACTTTAAACGCAGATTTGCCAAAAGTGTGCACTTGAAAAATCAGAGATCTCAATATGAACTCAAACATTTCTCATCAGATTCTTTCAAGGCCAAGAAACATCTGCGCAATAAATAGTTAATCTGGTTGATGTCCAAGATGTTTATTTTATTTCCCCATTGGACCTCATTATATGACCAGAACAAAATCTCTACTTTATTTATTGAGGAAGTGAAAAAAACACATGCGTGCATTAAAAAATGACAAGGTTTAACAAAAATTCTGACATGCAAATTAATGAACAGCTTTCTATGATACATAATTCAGGTGTGTGAGACATTATGTATTCCTATAGGGAGCTGCTGAACGCATTCTCAGACTTTGGGGATAAGGGCTCATCATTACACATCACTGAGTTTTGACATAAATAAATGATAAGCTCAGTTATAAGAGTGGCAGGCCTACCACTTTCAGATGCTTAGCGCTCGGTTCGACTGCTGACGCACAAGCTACCGAGAGATATTTAAATGAAATCCACTTGATTTGTGCGCACGCGTTCCCATAATATCACATGATGGAGTGCTTTATGATGTGAACCACATGCGCTGGTATAATGGAGTATTTATAAATCCGCCCTGGACGGAGCCTCCAATACTTCACTGCTTTACTTGGGTCACAGTGGAGCTCTTTTCATTTAATGTTGCATGTAATGAAAGACTCTTGATAGTTCTGCCTTAACTGGCCCGCTGTAATTGATGCATAACAGTAGTAGCAGTTTTAATGTCATGTGGGAGACACAAATGATCACAATTGGCCCCATTTGCTTCACTTTAAAATTGCTAATGGATCCCTTGCCCTCGGGCTAATAAGGTTGTGATGGGATATTATAGTTTTTGGGATGTAGTTGAATACGCTTCTAAAATGATAAATAGACCATCTGAGTGCTTTTAGACTCAGACAGCTCCATTATAGTGTATCATGCAGTGCATTGCGGTTATGAATGAAGGGTTTGTCTGTCGTCTGGGGTTCAGGTGGGCCGTGATGATGTCATTGAGGTACAGCAGTTTGTGGACTGGATGCATTTGGAGCCACAGTCGATGGTCTGGTTGCCTGTCCTTCACAGAGTCGCCGCTGCAGAAACCGCCAAACATCAGGCCAAATGCAACATCTGTAAGGAGTGTCCCATGGTGGGCTTCAGGTAAACAAAGTGAAGTAGACAGAAACTCTTAAAATGTCATTTTCTTCAGCAAAGGAGGTGCATAATCTTCAGACAATGTTGTTTGTCAACCTCAAAATAGCATTTTAGCTATTAATAGCTATTATTATTATTATTAAATTGTACAGTAAAATAATAAATAACAATGATAACTTTATTATTATTATAGTTATTATTGTTATTTATGATTTGATTTATTTTAATAGTATATTTTGTTATAGAATTTTATATTTCAACACTGTTTATATATTTAATTATAATGTTCATTGTTAAAAAATAATTAAATCACAAATTTCAGGGTTTTCAAATTGTTTAGACACATTCCACTATGTGTATCATAATAAAAATAATAATAGTAATAAAAGTAAAAGTGTTTTTATTATTGTTTTTATTAATAATGTCTTTATTATTATTATTAAAGACATTATTAATAAAAACAATAATAAAAACACATTTACTTTTATTATTATTATTATTATACACATAGTGGAATGTGTCTAAACATAATTTTAAAACCCTGAAATCTGTGATTTAATTATTTTTTAACAATAAACATTATAATTAAATATATAAACAGTGTTGAAATATACAATTCTATAACAAAATATATTATTAAAATAAATAAACATGTACATGCCAGAATGGACAACAAGTTTGCAATTTTTCCCATAAATTGAGATGTCATGCATATCTTATCTAACAGTTCTCAGTCCAGAGAACATGATATTTGTGCATTTGTTTTAAAAATGAAGTAATGGTTCACCAGTGTGTATCTTATTTGTGTGGACAGTGTCATAAAAGTCAAGTCACATTTAATTATATAGCGCTTTATACAATACAGATTGTTTTAGAGAAGCTTCACACAGGAAAATAAAAGCATTAATATTACAAAATTCCTAAATTATGAAACAAATTCTAAGTAAGCTATAAGCAGCACTTTAGAAGACAATAGTGTTATTGTTCAACTCATTTTAGTTCAGTGTTGATTCAGTTTAGTTCAATGACAGTGTCAGTGTTGCAAAGTTCGTAGCTGTTGTAGTGTTAAACATCTGTTAATCCTGTAGGTATCGAAGTCTGAAACACTTCAACTACAACGTGTGTCAGACATGTTTTTTCTCGGGAAGGATTTCCAAGGACTATCATCTCAGCTATCCAATGGTGGAGTACTGCACCCCTGTGAGCATCTGGAAGACGCTTGTGTTTGGTTGTGTTTTCAGATGGTTCATTGTGGCAAATGCTTCAAAAAATTAGCGAGGGAATAGTGCAGGTGTTACACCACCCTAAATCATTTGGAAAATCTTTGATCTTTTTTTAATTAATTCAAAAATATATTTTTTATAAAATAATTTTATTATTTATAAATATTATAATAAAATGTAATAACTATATATTTTATGTTTAATTAAATTTTTAGACTATAAATCTCTCTCTCTCTCTCTCTCTCTATATATATAATATATATAATATTATATATCTGTTTTATTGTGGGTGTGTGTGTAGGTGCATTCATTTTTTTTCAGATTTTTCTAAGCCTAAACACTCCAGTCCCTGCCACTCTAATTCTTCATGCACAACAGAACATTTACCTACAGCCTCTCTGTTACAGACCACCT